AAACATGGACTAGGATTAAAATCAGTCTGTACATCTCACAAATGAACAATCTCCCTCTCCTCAGCTACATTTCATCAAAGCTATGAGAAAGTGCCAAACAACACAGACTGAAACAATTTCCACACTGCTCTCCTTGTTTTTTTCCCCCCATCCTCTACTTACAGAAGCCTACTATGGCAGAGTAATGTGCGCCACCTGCAAACTCCACCCAACTGAAGAGGCTTTTGATCATGCCTTTCCTACTGTTTACTCTCCCACAGCGGTTCCAGTTACCACTACTACCTCCCCTGTCCAACCATCAACATCGCACCTCAGTCCAACACAAGGGATTTCAGTCAGCACTCGAACCCTCTTCATTTCTCTGTGGGTTTACATTATCTCCTCAAACAGAAGTTGGCATCTGTGTCCTTATGGCATACCTGTGCAGTTATAGGAACGAAATTTCCTCTTATCGGGGTTATTTTAGCTCTGAGGCCTCTAGGTCTAGAGTAGTAGAGTTTAATGTTATCATTAATACAAAGAGCTGGCAGGAATGAACAAAAGAAGTGGGGGTGCATAAAAAGGACGGCCACACCCAGCACCGAGGTAAAGTACAGCGGTAACAAGAGATTCTGAAACTTGTTGAGTGAAAACATCAATCTCTAAAACGTCAGAGTTGTTATGTCTGAGTGAACCACTTAACTCAAGAGCAACAAGTGTTAAAATCATTACCGCCACTGGATGCATTAATAGAAAAAAAAAAACAAAAACAAAAAACGGAGATGGAAAGTTTATATTTGACCTTGGAAACAACAGCTGAAAAAAAACAATCTCACCACAAGGTCCATTTCATAGCTGATCAGGAGTGTTCAGTCTGAGCACCGCACTCACAAAAACAGGAATCAGAATTTGTACAGTACCATGAGAACTGGGTGAACTCCATCTGCTAAAAGCTCCAGAACAGCCACTAAATGGACCTTGTGGTGAGATTGTTTTGTCAACAACAGTATCTGCTTTCTGCAATGTCCTCAGTGACATGTTTTCTCCTGACTCCACTGAGGTGCAGTTTCATCTCCAAACCGCACAATAAGTATCTTTTTAACTAAATTTCTGACCTACAGTACATATATAATATATAATATTATACATGTTACAGTATCTATTGTAATAGAAATGAAAGTTTGCCTCCTGATCTTGCAGTTCTTAAGTAAACTGAGTCTGTCTGTTTCAACGGATGACCCTTTACCGTTTGAAGTGCCGTATCAGGACGGGCTGTTCCTATGAACCTGATGTTGTTGACATTTCCTCAGCCACAAACACAAACCTGATGGTGCATGTTTTCACAGTAGCCAAATCCATCAACCACGAAGGTGCAGATCGCCATGTGGGAGCACATAAGGTGACAGAATGCCACCGAGATGGAGGCTGACTCATCGTCCACCTATTCTGCTGCATATGTGAAGTTACCATGGCACACTGTTCTGAGACACGTTATCACTCGGAGCCGATGCCTCCCTGCACAACCTGTGCAGATTCTGAGTGTGTGTAATCACATGTTTTAGTCTGTGCAATTAATACTATAAAGGTTGAAATCATTAGATGTGGTTGAAAACAACCAAACAAGGTTGGGACGTTGCAAAAAATAAATCAAAGTGAGTGGCTCATAATTATGAACACAATGTCCACCAAAATAATCCTCAGTCTGGTGGATGTAGTAATTGTGCAGCAGTAGATTCAGAGAGATGTGCACTGTTAAGTTAAAAATAGTGCGGCGCAGAACAATTTCAGCAGGAATGACAAGAATTCAGGATTATACAATTTCCCGGTTTTGTTTATCCAGGGGAGCGCTATGTCAACACTTTTTGTATACAGAACCTTATCACATCTGCAGAAAGGTGCTAGGATGTGCCAAACACAATCTAATATACTGTAGTCTGGTGCAAAAATGTGAAACAGAACTATGCGAGCGTAAAGTATGGAGGTGGTTTACTTCAGTAACATTAACAACTTTGAATCACGAGGTCAGAATAGTAAAGTTTTAATTTTTTAAGCATGTTATGATACCTACTGATCTTCTATGAGGCATTTCACCATGGAGTCCAGTTGATCAACATGTGACCCAGGTCAATTACAACTTACAAACTGCATCTTTAAAGAGTGGAGGAGCATTTTGTTGCCTGAAAAGTTGACCAGGGTCTCACGCTATTCTCAGTGCTTTTCCCCTACAGGGTTTCCTGTCCTGATCAGCAGGGGTAGACGGACCCTCTCATTACGGAGACCGCAGATGAAAATGAGAGCGAAATGAGGCCCATTACCATGCGGGCGTGACTAATATCCCTCCACAGACCTCTCCACATGCAGTGGACACGCGCACGCTCATCACACGTGCACATCCAAGTTAAACGTGTACACAAAAATAAAGTCAGACGCGCACGCTAAGATGCTCGGGAATCAATAAAGTTGCACAGAAACAAAGACGACGGGAAGTTGGTAATAAACTTTGGCTCTATTAAATTGACCAGATCTTGGGCTGCTCTGTGGGGGGTGTCTGGCTCTTACCAGTGTGTTCATGTATAGGTGTATGTGTGTGTGTGTGTGTGTGTGTGTACGTTCCTTAATCATCCATGATGTCATTAGCGCTAAATGCGACCCTGGCTCAGCCTAATTCCTGCCCACTAAAAGGCCTGCCTTCTCTATTCCCTCCCTCACAATCTCTTTCTTCTCTTCCTAACCGCTCTTACATCATCTGACCAGTCCGTGTAATATTTCATCTCTCGTGTGCTTCTCTCATCTCTCCAAATATCCACTCCGCTCTTCATTTCATGAGATGTCCACGAGACGTTCATTACCTCACTGGAATTCACAATCATCAACCTCTAACCGACCACTAGTCTTGCTCTCACTTCAATCATCAGCTCCTAAAATGCTGTTTTACCGATTTCTGTTTTCCTTTTGGCTTTACTTTCCTACCGTTATTTCTTCCTCTTGTTCCATTTCCGTACAGTCATTCCATCACCTATTTCTTCTCTTTCACTTACATATCATCTGCTATTTCCTCTCCCTTTAAATTTTTCCACTCAAGCTCATCATTTGGTGCCTTAAATATGTTTCCATTCCAATTTAATCTAAAAGTCAGTCAATGGTCAGCGTGTTTCATATTTCACTCTCATTGTTCCATGCGGCAGTTCTATCTTCATCTCTGATCCATCCCAACTTTTTCCTCCCTTTCTACCTCCCTGTCTCTTATGTTTTAACCGCCCCCCCTCCCCCCCTCCTCCCCTCCTCTGCCGATCGGGTCTGCTGAGTGATTTATCACCTTGCAACAGGCTGGCAGAAAGAGGGAAGAGAAAGGGAGGAGAGGTAGATGAAGAGAGGAGGGGTTGAGTAGGAATTGGGCTGTTTCGCGTTTGAAGTACATGAAGGAGTAATATAAAATACACCTGGTCCATCCATGGGGCACTCTCTGTACACAGAAACAAAGGGAAGGGAGGGAGACGTAGAGGAGGAGAGAGGAGGGCCGGGCCGCAGGGAGGTGAGGGGAGAGGGGTGGATAGAAAGGGGGAGGAGGGGTCACTTCGTGTTTCCTTTCAGGATAGCTTTTATGGTGTAACTTCAAACGCTGACCTCCCACACCCCCGCCCCTACATCCCCCCTGCTCCCTCGCTCCATCCGTCCGTCCATTCGTCCCTCCCTCCTCTTTCTCACTATTGTGTATGGCCAAGTGGACAGTAATTGGCTATTCTTTCATGAGGCTGATTTCAGCACTCTCTTCCCCCCACAGGAAGGGGCCCTTTTGCTGCCCCTTAGAAGTAAGTGTATTTGTGTGTATATGTGTGTGTGTGTGTGTGTGTACGTTGTAAATATGCCAGACAGTAGGTATCAGGTGGTTGAAGGGGGCTGCACTGGCTGCGGACTCCACAGGCATTTCTTTCACTGTGTGCTCCAAATTACAACACAGGAATTGGAGGTAATCTAACACGGAGAAATCATGTTCCAGCTTGAGGTTTTATGAATTTTACGTACAGCTTAAAAATGTATAATTTATTTTAGGAATAAAGTTTACATTACATCTGCTGAAAGCTAAGTGTGTTAAAAGGAAAAGTAAAGCCCTAAAAAGTCACTGGATATACATAATATTCTTGGCAATGAATGAGTGTTTTATTTTTCCGTCAGCCCAGAGGCACTTACCTAACTTATTCATGCCATAAAATGTATTTTACAAAAAGATGAGAGGCTTTGCAAATGTTTCTGTCTACAATATCTGAGCATATTGCAAGTGATATATAAAAGCTGCTCTACTCTCACTAATGACTTCTGGCCCTCTGCGGCTTATAGATCAGTGTGCGTTCATTAATGATGCAGGCGAGTGTGCAAGCGTGTGCGTCAATTAGTGTGTGGAGGGGATTAGCCGTCTCTGGAGAGCCCTAATTAACCATACACGCACGCTTTTTTGGATCGTTTTCGTGGCACTTTTCACCATTTTATTTGGTGGTAAACAAACTGCAAACTGACAGGAAGTACGGGAAGACAAGGAAGGATGCAACAAAGGTTCAAGGCCAGATTCAATGCCTGAATGTTGAGGCCAAATGGTGTCCACCACCTTCCCCCGAGACAAACACAGACACCATCCTACACAGGCATTGACCATGACCACACACACACACACACACACACACACACACACACACACACACACACACACACACACAGGAGGGTATGTGATGTATACAAGCTCTTAAAAGGTTAAATATGTGGGCGGAGGACACAACATAAACAAAGAGTTAAATAAGTACAGGGTAGTCTGTCTTTGCAGACACACCACGTCAACATAATTTTGTTGTCAGACAAATGAAAACACTGCACAGCTCGAGAATCACAGCTACTTTAGAAGGGCAAAAAAAAAAAACCCATATAGAAATGAATAGAGAGATTTTCTAAAAGAGAAAGGGACAGTGCCAAGATTTAGAAGTAGAGCAGAGGGAAAGTAGATAGAGGCCTTAATACGGCAGAGTGTCTCCTACCTCTTTGTAGTTCACCTTGGGCTCTATTCTCTTCCGCTTTCTGCCCTTCCCCTGATGACTCTGACTGAGGAGAATCCATTTTACAACCTGCAGGAGGGAGGATGGTGGGGTGAGGCGGTGAAGGCGGGAAAAAGAAGTTGAGTGTAGAGGTAGAGAGGTAGAGAGAGAGAGAGAGAGAGAGAGGCAACAAAGTAGCAGGTTTTGAGTGAGAGTGATGAGACAGTATGAAGGTGAAAGAGAGAAAAGGGGGAACAGTGGAGAGGCAATGATAATGACAGAGAGAGGACAAGAGAAAGAATGAGTGGTCACATCTAATAGCGGAAAGTAAATATAAACAGACTTAAGGCGCACTTTTCATCCCTCAAGTGGAAAGGCACACAGGAATATACACATACACACTCTCAGTGAGCTACTAGCATGCGAGCTTTGACAGAGTGTAAAGTGGAAACACACACACACGCACACGCACACGCACACACACACACACACGCACACGCACACACACACACAAACGTCTATAGCGCCGTCTCTCTACAACACTAACATTAATTCCAACCTTTCAGCGCTCACTTGTGCTCCATATATAACCAACACAAAGTGCCGGCTAAGACAAAAGAGTAATAGTGTAAGTATGTTTCTGTGACAGAGCCTGGAGCGCAGCAACTCCCCGCACCATAGATCTCCATTAAACAGCCAATCACTATCAAGGCCAAACTCTATCTACCCTGGCTGACTCCTCTCCTCCGCTTTAATTTGTACCTCAGACTGAAAACACTGTCGTCATACAGTTTAAATATTGAAAAAGTGAGGTTTCCTAACACTGAAAAAGCACATGAAGTGGATAAGTCATTTCTGAGATGCAATCACTCGAGCATTCTTTGTGTTTTTTAAGTATTTTTAATATATTTGACAAATATTCTGTTCAGGTCTGACTTTTTTTTTTTTTTTTTTAAATAATCGGACAGATAAATGGGAGAATTAGAACGTATAGGCAAAGCAATTAAGAACAACATGGGGCCTTTATGAGAAATCTGATCTGCAGCAGAGAATGACACGCAACAGATGTACAGCGCTGTGTGCCGCACTTCACTCAGAGACAGACAGAGGGAAAGACTGACACAGGGAGCAAAAGAGAGGTAGATGGAGTGCAAGAGAGGTGGAGATAAGAGATGATATCAAACACTGTGGGACAGACAACAGAGACAAACAGAGGGGAACCAGTAAAGAGAGACAGTGGCAACATAATGGAGTGAAGGAAAAGAGAGTGATGAGAATCAGATGACAATCACATCAAGCAGTCTAAGGTGCAATATTTCAAATCTGAGAGCTGCCCCCCAAGTCTGTCTGCCACTCCCTGAAGATGAGAAGAAGAGACAGAGAAAAGAGAGAATAGGAGGAGGATATATATATATATACATAGAGAGAGAGAGAGGGAGAGAGTGCTTACCTCTGCTTTGACTTCTTCCACCAGCCTCGCCTGTGACCACACGGCGCTCCTTTCATACAGCCACTGAACGACAGAGAAGAAGGGAAAGCAGTGAGCCGGGGGCAAGTGATCGGGACAGAGTGGAATGCTTTGCAGAGGCAGAGAGTGAGAAAGAGAGAGAGAGAGAGGGAGAGAGAGAGAGAGAGAGACAGAGAGAGAGAGCCCTGGCAAAGCAGGAAGGGGAGGGAGAGAGGAGAGGTGGGAGGAGTGGGAGGAGGTGGAAGCGCGATCACTTGTTCCTCTGACGGAAACTCGCGACTTGACTCCGGAGGATGAGAGAAAAGAGTGGAGGAGAAGAGAGAGAAAAAAGAGGAGGAGGAGATTTAAAAAAAAAAATAAAATAAATCAAAAAAATAATCACCTGAATTACAAGCAACCACAGGACGGACAGTCACTTCAGTCCTCTACATATTCACTCCTCCACCACTACACACACACATACATACACATAGAGACATACATGCAAACACACACCTACGCACAGAGAGCAGCTAGTAGGCACAAACACACAGCACTTACTCTCTAACCTTATTAAGCTTTCAGCAGAGCCACGGCTTGAGTGATGTGAATCACACATTACAGTGATGACGGCAAGGGCTGTGTATATGTTTGTCTTTGTGAGTGTGTGTGTGTGTGTGTGTGTGTGTGTGTGTGTTTGTGTGGTGGGGAAAATAAGGAGAGAGACACGAGACAGACCGGAGAGTATGGGAACAAGGTCTTTGTAATGTCACACCACGCACAAAAAACAGGCGAGATGCAGCAGTGCCACATCACATTCATACAGCCCATGATAGACACGCCACAGACGTTCCCAGGCGCACGCAGTCTGTCAGCTTTCAGCGACCACAGCCACACACAAGTTCAATACTATAACTGCATGCCTGGGTACTTCTCTGTGTGTGTTACACAAAAGTACTCCAGCAGAAATAGCATGAAGGTGTGTGTAGAAGCAAAAGGACAGAGAGAGAGAGGCGGACACAGAGAGAGGGAGGTGTTGGAGTGGGCTGTATAGAATGTAGTGAGTGTTGAAACAGTAAATTGGCATTGTGTAACAGGATACCACACATAGCTCTTTTGCTGCCTCGATCCCGGCTACCAATCCCTGAATAGCAAGGGCTTTTGTCTACCTCAAACTCTCTCTTCGTCCCGCACCCACGTCTGTGTAGCGTCTCTCTGGTAAATCAATATTAGATTACATGTAGAAGTTCAGAGGATACACCTCTCATTGAGAAACACGCATGAGAAGCAAGTAAATCACATCCCTCGTTCAGTTCTAAGTACTCATTTGTGATGTGTGAGTTTTGTCCATCCAGGTTGGTGAGTGATTTTACTAGAACTATTTTTTACTTGAATAAGTGTAAGTATGGATTATCTTCATAATCTATTAATCCCAGAAACAATGCCAGACAATTTGGTTAGTTAGCATACAAACAAGTTTTGGTACCAATAAGAGAATTCTTTATCTTTTTGATACCTTATCTATTGAGTATAGATTTTTTTTCTTTTTAATAAAAAACAGCCAAATTTTCATCAAATAAGCAAGCCAAACCTGTCACACTTAATCCTGTTTAATACTGCCTTAATGCAAATATCTGTGTATACATTTTCCTAAATAAAAATATCATATCAGGAGCTGAGCCTGACTCAGTTGTTATATTCAAAAAGTATTCATGCCTGGCAGCCAGCCCTAATTTTCAAGAGAGAAAGTTTGAGCTCCAGTAATTGGCACTCTTTTCTGCCTGATGATTGGTAGCAAGAGGCATTTATTGATGACCCAGTCAGAAAAAGACAAACATAAGACATTGATGTACATTGTAGGACAAGGTAGAATCAGGCAGAAAGCTGTGGTGAATAAAGGGTAGTCTTTATTTAAACAAAGTATCTCAGCCTAAATCCATCATCCCAAAGGGAGTGCTTACTCATCTAAACTGTGGGGTCTAAAATAGGCCAGCACTGGCCTTCCCATTCCACATCTCTTACTCCGGGATCGGTGAATGTCATTGTTTATTATTAGGCCAAACCATTTCCTGCCTTTCTCCAATTCAAGCACATTGTCGAGCAATGGATGGAAGGCAGAGAGGGGAGAGCGAGAGAGGCAGAGAGTGGCAGAGAGAGAGAGAGGGAGAGAGGATTTTAAAAATGTGTTTGTGTCTAGTGTACATAATACACAAGCACTTGCATTTGTAAAAGGTTTCAATCGATCTGGCTGATCTTATTAGCCGGTGACTTGCACATCAAACACAAAAAAAAGCCTCTGCAAGAGCACTCTGGCCGTCACCCAATCAGGTGTGAGAAAACAGCAGTCCCTCCACGCTGTTCTTCCCACCCTCAGAGGCCCCCTGAAAGGCTCCAGTTACATCATCACATAATCTAGAAGGTGAAGGTTCCCAGACAGCAACACAAGCACAGACGCACAAAAGTGCACATACACACGGTGATAATTAAGATCAGTTACCATGGAGATGGGAAAATTGAGGAAGATGTTAAAGTGGATTGATTGCATGAGTGTGTGTGCACGCGCGTGTGTGTGTGTGTGTGTGTGTGTGTGTGTGTAGCCTTGCAATCCAAGTATCTATGACCATGGGTCTTTCTCTGTTAGAGGACAGAGGCAGAGCAGCAATGCTCACCTTGTCAAGATACAGTACCAGTCTGGTAATACACCCACACAACACATTGATAAAATGAACTGAAATGCAACAAGAGCTAGCAATGCTTACTAAACAGCAGGTGATATTGTGAATTAGGATGAAGATCATCATCGTGATATCCTTTGGAAAACTGAAAATTCAAAAACTTTCTTCGAGTTGAACAACAAATGTGTTTTGTGAGTTTTTATGCTGTTATCGGGAAACCGTCTGGCAGTTTCAGAATGCCGACAGGCTAATAGTCACACGTCATTTAAGCTGAAGTATTTATATATTGACTATTTACTTCTAATATGAGACATAATTTTCATTATGAGAGCGTCATTATACACTGCTATTTACAGCTGTTCTGTACAAAGACAAATGCAGTGCAGCTCTTGTCAGCTAAGAACAAATGCTTAGAGCACACTCCTCACACAAATATTAGATGTATTGTGGTTTACACTCCTGTCTATAACCACCTTAACACTGCTGGGTTTAAACTGGACCCAAACAAAACATCTTAACTTACAATGGAGTCTAGTTAAAGTCTGCTTGATGAAATGATCTCAAACCATAATAGGTCATTATTACGGATGGTAACTTGCAGTGTGATTCTTGGCTTGTGGCTTTCAATAACCAGTTTTTTTTACAGAGAAGCCAATCAGGTTATGGTTGTCAGTTCACACAAATAAAACATTCAGCCACTTGTTGCTCTACATAAAAGGGTAAAACAATGACAGCTACAGCAGTATGGATATCTTAAAGTGACACAGGTTGGACAAAGATCAGTCAGTTCAAACCAATAACCAGAAACCAGTCTAATGAGAACAACGAATATGAAATTATCAGCCTACACATGCATCAGGTATGACACTTTTAGCATCTATACACCCAGACAACAGCTGTGTGCTAATTTGTGGGTAATTACCTTGTATGATAAAGGAACAAAGAGGAGCAAGAACATAACTAAAGTAATTACTTAGTTCATAATTAAGACATGATACCTGTGAACTCTGAAGACAGACAATTCAGAAACATACTGAAAGGGTTAGACTATATACTGTATGCACAAACTAGTAGTACCAACAGTCCAAAATCTGAAATAATTTATTTTATACATTTATTTTCAGTCTAACGTTATTTAAGAGCTGCAAATTTAAAATTTTTTACCTAAAATATATTGTATAGTAAATTAATACAGTATACTGTGTCAGACAATGAATTGTCTGATACAGTATAAAACAATTAACCCTCTGGTTTTATCAGCACATCACTGAACACTAAAGCAACGTGGTTAATTTCTAGATTTTGATACATTTTAAAAGGAAAAAAAATAAAGAAAAAGGAGAGAAAGAAAGGTTCCTCAAACCTTTGGAATTCCCGGTTGATCAAGCCAGTCAGCATAAATAGCACTGAGGGTGAGGCCTTTTCTGGAACACAATGGCACAAGTGTTAGTATTATTCCTATTATTATAGCAATGACTGTTATTGCCCAAGACACCCTATGAAAACATGGCTCTGGGAAAATATTGTTAGGGTCATGGCAGACTTGAGGTCCAGGCCAACACCTTAAACAAAAAGAGGGGCACACCCACTTTCCCATACAAGGACAAGCACACAGGCATGCACAGACAATGAATTGGATTTGGATGTATGCATATACAGTGTGTGGGTGCATGTAGATGAGGAGAGGCTGAAGTGGATGGTTTGGCCATGAAAATGGTTGCACACCCTACACATTACACACACGGTGACACAGCTCGCTTGCAAAGGCAAATATGAATGCAAACAAACACAAGTAGTCCACAGTTTGTATGTTAACTATAAAGTACGCAAAGTACACAAGTCAAGGAATAACCACACGGCACACCCCCCCATCATCGATCCTCACTTGGATACTATGAGGCTATTACTGTATATTAATCTGTGATGTTCGACCCATTACAGGGATTCTTTTGTAATGAAGAGTTTTAATTTACATTTTTATATACCCATTTTCTCTCAGCTTTGCTCCTCTGAAGCTCAATTAGTGATTTCCATCATTTGCCAAATCAACTTCTTATTGAACTTGGTGCATCCAGAACAAACACTAGATTCAGGGAGCTCAAGTGAACACACCTTTCTTTTAATCTTTTTTCTCCATAAATCCCTTTTATACATTGGTTTAACACAGTGTTGCCGGCTAACAGGGAGGGACAACTGGGTGAATTGTCTGAAGCCCTTGGCCATGGAAGACTCAGCAGGACTCTTTTTCAGATAACAATACATCATGTTGAAGTAAAATAAATGCCAGATATACATTTTCCCATGACATTGTGACAGCCACAAATTTCTGTCATCTTTTACAGCATCTACTTTGTCTGCCGCTCAGTGCTTTGAGCTGAAGGCTAATGTTACCATGCTAACATGCTGAGTGCCGAATGTCTCTGCCAAAACTTAAATCCAATAGCTGTAGAGGTGTTTCACTTTGGACCAAAGTGCTGGACCAACACGCCAACAGACCATTTTACGGACAGAGTCACACCGCTGCAAGTGTAGCTAAAAAGGGTTTAGAGGCATTTTTCTGCAAGGTCAAGCCTTTGCTCCTTGCTTCCACACACTAGTAAAGTCTGAGTCCTACTGCGTCATTTCCTATTGTATATTTGCTGACAACTTTGGCAGATGGAGAGTGGGCCTTCAGTAAATTGAACACCATAAAACTCTCTTTATACTCTACAGTGTACTAGAAGAGGTAATATTCCCAATAAAGCACCAATTTGCCCAGAAACTGGACATTAAAAAACGTCACTCGGGACTTTATCAGAAGGAAATTTCAGCTCTTGGCACGTGGAGTTGAACCATAGACGAGACATAAAGACTAAACATCTGCCACACCAACAGTGAGACACCATGAAGTTGGATTACATGGGATTATGTGAGCATATCTCTCTTCTGGGCAAACAAAAGATTAATACAGTTAATACACTACATGACCTGTCACATACTGTTTAATAATAGGACTAGATAGAAACAAGTGTTAAGGCTCACAACAGCAGACGAGACATATATCTACCAGTTTTTTTCTGGTTGAGATTGGAAACTTTACTTTATTCTACCGGTTATTCATTTTAGTAGTGATACAGGAGAAAGATTGACTATGGTTCCTGGAAAACAGTTGCTTCTTATTAATAGAAATCAATGAATTTTTTTTTTTTTTTTCATGTCTGTTTTCATTTTTGTTTAGTCTTATAATTATTATTTCTGGATAATTTAGTCTGGGGAAAAGACAGAGTATACGACCCTGCAGTGTCTATTCTAATCCTAAACCTTGCTCTTCTAGTGGGCTGTTTACTGAAAGAGGCATCAGATCCAAATATTGACTGTCTCCAACTCCCTCTGTTTAGTTCAGTCAATCCCTGCCAGCCGAGCAGCACACTCCACATGACAGAAAAGGAAAAGAAGACAACACTCAGAGCAAAACAAAGGGGTGCTCAGGAGGAGAGGAGTACGAAAAGAAGAGTTCAGGGTGGAAGAAACAGAGTGAAAGACAGACAGGGAGAAAAGAGGAATGGCGAGACAGGCAGAAGAAGAGGTTAATGAGGCAATCAGGGGAAATAGAGAACTGAATGATTAGGCAAGTGCAGAGAGGGAGAGAGAAAATTAGAGAGGAGGAGAGCAGGAGGAGCAGTTATCCTTTTACACTTCAATTAATACAAGAGTGGATGAGACTGCTCTCTTAACAGGATTGGTATTGGGAGCTTTTCAGGCCATGTTTCCACAGAAGGACCAAGTTAGTCAAAGAACAGCGGCCAAATCAACACATGCTCGTGTATTTGACATGAAATTACTAACAAATCACATCTGTTGAAGAAAAAAACAGTTCTTAAGGCTGTATTAAAACAGAAAATTGATGAATAATATATCTCTAATTTCTCTGGAACTGGAAAAACAGGCTACATTTAATGCATCAAGGTATTTTTCATTATTCATGAACAATACTGTAAGCATTACTCAGAGCCAGTAAACATACCTCTCCATGTCAGGAAAGATAATCAGCAGCATTCGCAGGAAATCCTGTCAAAAAGGAAAAAAAAAAGACAGACAGAAATGCAGGCATTTAGTGAGGTGTGGGAGTGGGGAAAAAAAGAAAGAGAAAGGCATACCTGATCTTAAGTCAGGAGTGCAAGGTCAAGCAGTGTTTATGTTACATCCATTATTTAGTGGGAAGACTCAACCTGCCACTGAAGAAACAGGAGCCAGGTGGAACTCATCACATATCACACACAGATGCACTCAACACATACACATACACACAGACTTCCAGGTGTGATCACTCAGCCTCACGGCCCCAGCAGAATAAACATATGTGGGTGAGCTGATGTACGGTCATCAATTTGAAAAAAAAGAAAAGAAAAGAAAAGAAAAAAAAAAGCTGCTGGAGCATTTTCAACTATTGTAACACTGTGGCAATCAAGCTCACATCAGCCTCCAATTAATTTATGGAAATAACACTGCGCCTCAGAGACAGGTCATATTAAAACAGTTCAAATCCACGCTCCCATTTCATAAACAGCCTCTGAAGTAGCTGTGAGTCAACATCGAGATTCTCCATTAAGTTAATGAGGTAAAAATGAATTTCCTGTACTGCAGCCCCACCTGAGACAAAATGAGTTGCCCGTGGTATTTCTTCACAAATAATCTGAAGAAGTCGATGAATTGTTGCTCTCCCACTTGACTGGCCAAGAACCTGAGGAGGAAGTAACCCTGGACAAAAGGACAAGATAAATAAAGTCATCCCCAAGCACACCTAACAAAGAATGGGACACCTAAAAAGACAGCATATGCTTTTTTAATGCTTTCATTTGTTCTATAGCCTTTTGTTTAATTCTTTTCTTCTCTCTTTCCCCTCCTTCCCCCCCATCCATCTCCTGCCCACCCTTGCTGCTTTTACCACATGCATCTCTCACCTTGAGGTAGTGGACTTGCATGAAGGTTTTGTCAGGATTGAGGGCATGTTTAACTGTGGAGGAGCCAGACTCACTGACCTGACCAGTGTTCTCCATGTTGGGCCTGCAGAAGGACAAACAGAGCAGAGAAACAAAAATACACACCGAAAGATAAGAAGATAAGAAAAACAGGCACGGAGGGAGATATTAAACACACACAGTAAACAGAAAGGTTCAAAGAAAATGAGTCAGGCAGGTAGAGAGACACAGAGGCAAAAACAGAGTGGGATGGTGTGAGAGAACCTGAGCACTGAGTTCTTATTTTATCCCACTCTTACAGACATTTTAGTTGCAGGAAACCACATTTTCTACAGAGCAAGAATCCACTGTCAGCAACACTAAATCCAGCCACTCAGCCGGTCCTCTCAATGGCGAACACATTGCCAAGTTGCCGTACTTTGCCTGAGGCAGGCTGGAAATCAAGCTGCAGATTTATAATAGCATGCTATAGTGTTTATATGACCTCACAGCACTGCGCTCCGACTTTACTGCCCATGACTCACTGAGCGAACATATAACACTTCCACAAAGAAGCATCCCCGTCTTACAGGGACAAAAGAGCCATGCTCTGGGTTTCGCTTTCCCTGTCACACAGATACAAATCAACCTCCGTAAACACACAGACAAACGCACATAAAACTAATAAAAGCCAAACAAACAGAGCACTGACATGGGATGCTGTGCAATGATAGTTTCAGTTAGCTGGTATTGATCAAGCTGAGCAGATTAACTCAGTGTGCCAATAGGAAGGCCTTGAAGGATCACCCTCCTGCCAAGTCGATACACAAGGCGCCTGGCCCACCAATCAATACACCCTTCATCACTGGCTAGCACTTTTCCACAGGACCAATTCATGACAGGGCCGGACACACACACACAAACACACACACACACACACACTCTCTCACACACACACAAACACTCTCTCTCTCTCTCTCTCTCTCACACACACACACACACACACACGCACACACGGACCATCAGGGAGACCACACGTCTAAATTTTTATTCATACAGATTCGTGTGTGACGTAAGATCTCAATCATTAATCTTTTCGAGTTAGGCTTCAGCTGTGGGCCACAAGTTGGTCAAATATTTGATCTATTTGAGTCTCTGTCCAGGCATGGTTAGCAGAGGAGCAGGGACAGAGGGGCGATGATGTAGATTAGGGCCGAGGACAAGAGGAGGAGGAGGAGGAGGAGGAGGAGATGCGGGAGAAATCGAGGACAGGAGATAGACGGGAATGTTGAGTTTTGCTCAGTGGACTGACAAAAGGAAGTCATCAGCTTCCTGGAATTTCTCAATCTGACTGGACACTCTTACAAGGACTTTCATCATGCTTATGAGGGTGTGTTCCTACTTGTGCGCATGTCATATAAATGTTGTGTGAGAAAAATCACAATACCATTGACCTGGATTGGGGAAAATCCATTTTGGAACATCTTGGTAACGATCCTCTGTACAGACTGTACATTAAAAGCTGCCAATATTCTCAGCCTGTCACTGGACATATGGATTAACTATAAAACACATTTGTAAAAACACGTGGGCAACAGGTGAAAACTTACATTATATTTTGTCTTAAATGTTTGAAAATGGCTCATTTACCTGTTCTCCTTATATCATGGAAATATTATTTTCCCTTTTTTAAAAGTCATGGAGTTTTGAACTTGCTCTCTGTCCAGTCTCCTGCCTGTAGTGCCCATGTCTGTCTGTTACTGCTGATAAGATGAAATAGACTCTTTTTACAACAGCAGGACGTGCCGTATCCCTGGGAAATATTATGTGTGTGCGTGTGACAGAGAAGTACAGAGAAAAAGAGGGACTGGGGCAAAAGACAAAAACAGTGGCAGAACATGTATTTCCAGAAGAGAAAATGTGTCGGTTTTGTGCGTCAGAGACACCAGCGGCAAAGCAGGGAGAGGCAAAATGTTGATCCATCACTGCTGTGTAAGACAAAGGAACTCCACCCTTCCCACTGTCCAGCCTAGGGATGTATGGATGTGTAAATCCCTGTCTTTCGCTGTCTCTCTTTGTCAGAGATGATTTACTACAGCTTTAAGCGGAATCGCTGCTCGCTGCCTTGGAGAATCACACAATAGCTCAATGTATTTCAGAATAAATGGTGCTCTTATCTGACTCGTAGGCCATGTGTGTGAGAGGGAGGGAGCTTGTCTCTGTGTGTGTGTGTCTGTGTGTGTGTGTGTGTGTGTGTGTGTGTGTGCGTGTGCGTGTGCGTGTGCGTAGCCATGCCTACACCTGGGTGTGTCTGAGATTGAGAGAGAAAAAAAGAGCGGGAGGAAATCAGGAGCTATTACTGACAGAACTTAATGTCAGATGCACGCACTCAAACACACACACACGCACACACGCAAACACACACACACACACGCAGAGGTTTATAGCTCCGCAAGCCATATCCTGACAAATTACACTGGGTCGACTGTGGAAACCGGATAAGGTAGAGCAGCACTCCCAGCAGCCCAGTAAATCAGCAGGGAGAATGGCGTCTGGCCCAGGCTGCCCTAAATATAACTCATCTGAAATGGACTGATAAACACAGGCCACTTGGGCCCCTGCAGGATCACTGGGTGTCGATTGTGACCCACTGAACTTGGAAAGCACAACCTGCCATTTAGCCTTTATTTGTGTGTATGTGTGTGTTAACTGGTGAGGAAGTTGCGCGTATCTCTCTGCACATCCCACTGCGCTTCCTTTCCCTTTACCAGGTCCTCTCTAATATTTTTCTATGCTTTGTGACAACAGTTTGTGTTTATTCATATTACATTTCCACAGGGTTGTAAAGCTAATGGAGCCACACATGGCCTAAATCAAAAAGTGGCAAGGCAGGGTTTTCTAGATATCGGTATGGATAATCAAATAGAGAGAGCCAAAGACTAAGAAGACAGGGAGAGCAAAAGACTTAATGAACGGAACGCCAGAAGTAGACAAATCAGCTGTCTATGAGCACCAGACCAGTCAAAGGATCGACTGGGAAGGAGTGAAAGGTTATTGATTAGGTCAGTGTCAGTGGACGGCCAGAGGAATATCCAGCAAGTCACTCATATCCATAACCAAAGACCAACACTGAACTGAGACTGGGATTACAATCTCCCACTCATAAACAACAATGACGATGACACCAGAGCAGTGTCCATGATCACTGAGAAAACACTGATGAAAACTGTGAGATACAGTCAAAGCCCTGAAAACGTTAAGGGTTAAGAATCCTCTTCCATGCTCAAATTAGTTAGTTTTTAATGTCGTTTTGCTTCTAAACTTTAATTTGGACAACAAAATTTATTTATGAGTCTGTAATTTCCAACTCATTTCTTACTAATTTTCATGAGAAGTTTCCTGGAAAGAACTAACTGGTAATTTGGGACTAATTATAGGGAAGACATGGAGAACTGCTCCAATTAAACACAGGGAAATTTTCAGTCATTACTTATTTATCGTTGGAAATTATTTATTCTTATATGAACATATATGTTGAATTGTATGCTTGCCTGCGTGCACATCTGATTTTTAGATGTTCAGCTAACCTGCTGTGCACTAAAAGACTTTGTTAAGAAATGATTCAGATATTACACACCTATAAGGTAAAGTGTTTGAAAACTGATGACTAAATATCATCGTGATATTACTGAACGGGAAGTCAATAAACAGTAATACTGTCTTAATAATAATAATAATACTGAGCTTGAATAGAATTTACATGTTGGTAGGAGAAGAAGAACTCAAACAGGGTCATACTGATGCTACTAAAAAATGTTGTTGCATTAGCAGAGTAAAAGCTGTACCTGACTTATTAAGATAATGTGTGAGGAGGGTTCCTTCATGACTCAACATGCTTTACAAATTGCTTTAAGATATGTGAGGGTTACGAAATGGCATGTCCTTTGGTGCCACTTTAGCAATTACTTTCCAATACTAGCGTGTTTCCACGTAACAGAATCAGTCAAAACATATGCACCCATGTATCCATGTGTATGGGCATGTATGTCCGTACGTATGTGTGAGTGCATGTGTTGTTTGCATTTTTCAGATGTTGGTTTAATGTTGTTGATTTAACCCTGTCAGGTGCAGAGAAACCTAATCCTGATCCTCCTAATCACCCATGGTTCTGCCTCATAGGGGAACACCCTGATAGACTGACAGACAGACACAGCTCTCAAGTGCATGTTTAACCGTTTCACTCACACACAGCTCCCAGTTTAAAGGTATCACAGGAATGACTTTTATGATGTTTAAGCCTGTTGCAACATACACTGGACATTATCAGCATTTCAGTATGTAAATAGTTTCCAAACATAGCCACCCTTATAGCACTGAAACACTTTAAACCCAATGCACCAGGAACAAATAAGTTAAATCATTATCACTAGCACGGCCGCGATTCACTAACACACTACACACAGTTCAGGACAAACTGAATTGATATGAATCTACGCACTATTCATTCATAAGTGTCTCAATTGTGTGATGACAACACATTATTAGTGAAGTGACATAGTTAGAAGTTAGTGCCAAGCAGAAGTGCCATGAAATCAATAACACATTGATTTGCTGTTACACTCTGTACGGCCTCTTACAAGCATGAATGTCAATAGTGTACTGTGCTACAAGTGTCATCTCCTGTGAAAAGGATTTTTTTTTCATTCAAAGGGAGAGCTACAATATGAAATGCACAATGCTAACAAGTGTTAGCACTTCACCATTAAAGAGTTAACTCCTGACTGGGGTTTACACCTATAATCTGCTGATGACACTGTACTTCCACCCTGAATAAAACAGACAGGGTGTGGGTCCCACATTGTCAGGATTAGATGAAAAGTTTGTGTGTTTGTGTGTGCTCGCTGTGCTCGTTTGCAGAGCTTTTCTAAGACATGACGGTACATTACACCTGGATATACTTTGTTGCCACACCTGCCACACCTGTACCCCTGGAATGCATATACCTCACGCTCACGTGTGTCTGCACGTGCAGACACTAACAAAAGACTAGACGGACTATAACCTGAAAAAGTAGACTGTGTCTGTTACGGGGAATTAGTTAAAGACTCATTCACACATTTTCTCTCTTCGCTCCAAATCTCTTGCGCTATGCTACAATGTCTATGACTTAACTTTTTGTAGTGTAAATTCTGGTTGCTGTGCAGGTATAAATATGTCTTGTGGTTCAGCGCTGGCTTTTTCAAAGAGCTATTAGTCACCCTACTTGGTGTACCAGCAATTTGTATAGTAATGTTCTAGGTGTGTCCTTGCTGACTGAAACTGTGACAATTATGAATGACTGCCTTGAACCAATAAATGTAAAATAGACTGTGTATTTTTTTAATAAAGTCTGTGACAGTCACTTTGAGTAACAGTGCTTCTGGTGAATATTTAACAGTGCAAATTATTAAAAAAATGATCTGTGAAAATTGATCAGGAAAAAATGGATGTCAGCATTTGAGGGCAGTAAGACATGCAAATCACATAAGAAGTGCTTGTTTTAAAAATGAATGTGTGAAAACGTGAATGTGTGTGTACTGATACTGATACCTGACTGATGCAGGGAGACGTTAGGTCAGGGGTGGTTTAGTAAACCTCTACGGATATTTAAAACTTACAGTGAGGGAGACAGTCAGCAGTTGGGGTCAAGTTCATGTCAGTGTACAGTCCTGTGTCCTGTTTTGACCATGCTCACCCAGAAGAGCCCTTTCCTCCATAGTAGCAACAATGGCAAGATAATCGAAACAGACAGACTGGACCAATGAGAGACACACACCTAAGGATCTGAAGTTCCTCCTCTGAATTCTGTAATTCGTCAGAGAGTCGTCTCCACCTGAGCAGTGCCTTCAGGTCAGACTGCTCTGCCGTCTCTTGTAAGGAGAGCTGCAGGGAGAGATATGGACTGTTAATAGGCATGTAAAGAAAAAGGTTAGGGCAGAGCAAAGAAATCAGAGGAGGAAAAAATATATATGGGAAATTCCCGATAAAAGCACTAATACCACTTTCTCTGTCGCTGTGTCTTATTGCTTTTGACTCCAACAACAGGCCTGCTTAAATCTATTCCTTCAGCGCAAGCTCATATGATAAAGGTGACATGATTAGACAGTGCAGACATAAGAAAAACATTTGCGTAACTCTAGATGGTGTGGGAAAGCGGAAGTGGAAGGATTAGATCTGTATGTACATCAACTCCCGGATCAGAGCTGAAGTTAGTATTGCAAGCAAAGGATGCATACCAATGCTACACCCTCTTTCTTTGTTCTGCTGTTTACCTATTTTTTTTAATCAGGTATCATTAATTACCAGGTTACCAGCCACCTCCTGGCTCAGGCATTAGAAGGATATCTGTAGCAGTGCAAAGTACACAACCTCCACAATGGCAGAGAACTTTTGTTTCTTTGATCTACTTCTTTACAATGTAAGAAGTTTCACTTTTTTGAGGAGTAGGTGGCAGTAGTACATTTTCATAGCTCTTGTGTGCTTCAGCCTAGTCCTCTTATATTTTAGTAGCTTAGGAGGTTTGGGTTGGATGGTTTATTTTGTGGTTGGCGCAGGAACTTCTTTACCCTTTCATTTTGTTTGGCCAGCTCCTCTGACCTTTGAGACGTGGTCTTTGTTCCTTGTTTGTCCTTTTCTGCATTGGGACTTGGATTGGTGTTTTTATAAACTGTTTCCTTGTGTGCTTGATGTATGGTTTTACTACAGCAATGTAATTGCCAACTCTACTTGACATGCATTCCAACCACAACAGTAACATTTGGAAATCCTGGCACAAAAGTTGGTGGAAATGGAAGGTTGGAATGTCACCCTGTGTTTCCCTGAGTTGTTGTATTATCGTAATGGTTTGAAGGTGCTGGATCTTACTATATAGTAGTACTGCCAGATAACAACAAGAAAGAAACGAACTGCATAAACAAATGTTATCTTAATGATTCCCAAGGTTGTTTTTCATTGACTTATTTCTAACTCCAATGAGAGAAAGTTGCTTTCTCAGTTGTAACTTCTTCAGATGGCCACAGCAAACCGGGCTCCACAAGCTGGCTAGACTGGTACATCTGAATAATACCATCTAGGAGTTTTTATATACCTGAGGTGACAACCTAAAACAGCCACCATTACTTTCCTTTCATAAAATAGCTGTAGTACAACAATCACTGGGCATCAAATGTACTGTACTTGTTGAGCTTGGGCCCAGATGATGTCCTCCAGGTAGGTGGCAAAACCCTCACTGATCCATTCTTCTGTCCAGTCTCTGGCTCCAATAACCAGGCCGAACCAGGAGTGAGCAATCTCGTGGCACATCCTGGACCCACACAGAGACAGGCCATTCTCGCCAGAATCGGGACTCCCAGCATGCAACACACTCTGGGACAGGAAAATTATGTGCGGGCTGGGGAAGACAAATAAAAGACATGAATAAGAGGAATAAAGCCAAATACAAATTATAAAAAGGGAGGAATGTAATGAGACACAAGCGAGGGAGTGAGGAATAAAAAGAGGAAAAGATTAAAAGAAGACAAGTACATGCAGAGGAGACAATGAGAGGTAAGGAAAAAGAAAAGTACTGGTTGAGAGGAAAGACAGATGAAGACATACTGTACCACCCTCCAAAAAGATCAAAGAGTTAGTGAGCGAATGTTCTACACCTATGATTACAGAAAATTTAGCCTGAACACGCCAAGTAAGACCAACCAACATGTGCTAATGAGTATGGGAGTCACTTACTGCCCATCCCTTTCTCCATCTCCTACATTATGTTTAGCAAAGGGCAGCTTACTCACCAAGCATTCTTGCCAAACCTAACTGCCCTGCACAAACATCAAGAAAAAACATTATGTTCCCTGAGCTATAATTGTCAACCAACAATGGGTCAAATGAATTAAATGAGATTTGCAATTTTGAGTTTTGTGCAATTGGTTTTATTCTTATTATTTATCAAGGCGGGATGGTTTTAGAGCTCCCACTCCTACCTTTTCTAAACGTGACTTCAAGGCAACGCTGCAAATCTTAGGTTTAAATAGTGTTTAGAAGTTGTCATGATTTTTCTTTTCTTTTTTTTTTTTACAAGAAAAGATAATTATAGCCAAATCCTCACCCCATCTTTATGGGAATGGAAAGAAAAGGACTGAGAACTGAGTCTGACCTATGACTATATTTGGAAAATTATAAGTGTCTGTAATTATCATATATCCAGGACTGATTTATTGGGCAATTAAGTTAGGAAGTTAAAGGTATGGTTATGGTTATGATAAACGTATGTGCATCTAAAGCAGCGGTCCCCAAACTTTTTTCAGTGGGGGCCACATCAACTTTCCTTTCTGAGATGGGGGGCCGAGGTTAGTCTATAACAGGAAATGATATGGGCCAGGGTGACAACCAGTATTATTGTGGAGATTACAATGATAATTTGTTGTAGCTGCCCTTCGTTTGGCCTTGGCACCACCTGTTGATTTGCAAAAAAAAGTAATAAAAAGTCTTCACATGTGTTTATTTGAAGTACCACAGATACTCCATTTATTTTATAGAAAATAACAACACAAACTGATGGTAATGCTGGGGGGGGGCGCCGGCGGGCCGCCGGGCAGCTAGCTCTGCTTGCTGGGCGCAATGGCTGTGCCGGGGGGGGGCGCCAGC